ACGTTTGTATTGGAGCTTCCAGCGAAAATGCCAAGTAGTATAGCATGCCATTTCCAAATTTCTGGTAGAGTGAATTGCGTCATGGTGTTCTTTTTCTTACAGATTGTGTCCATTTGATCCTACTATACTTTGCAGTTGAGAAAATCAAAAATGTGCATGGTCAAAATTAAAAATATAAAATGGCAACAATTTACTCATCACACCCTGTATATATTCTGACATTAAAATCTATCTCTTCATGCTTCTCTTCAGTCAAAAGGTTAATATATAATAATTATCAATTTAGGTGACAATATTGGTTTAATTTTGTTGGCTTTTTATCCTTCAAATTTTATTAATAGGCACATTAAATCTATATGTATATATATATATATATATATATATATATATGAAGAAATATAGTTTAAAGGTGTGCTATACTTATAGAATAAAGTGCTCAATATCAGGGATAGAGTGTATGTAAATATAAAAGTGAACATTGAAGCCAACACTCAGAGGTGACAGTCTGTTTCATGCTAGATGCAATCATCAGGCCACATGTGGCCTGATGATTGCATCTAGCATGAAACAGCAGATACAGGTAACGACGTTAATCCTGTCTCTTAAATATATATATATATATATATATATATATATATATATGTGTGTGAGTGTGTATGTGTTTGATGAAAGCTGAAGAATGGATTGGGCAAAATGTAATTCCATCAAGGACACAAAGGACGCAGTTCATTTGTCTGAATTAATTTTAGTAAAGGGTGGAGGTAGCAAACATTTCTCACCAACCATTATACCAAATGATATAAGCCAAATAATACATAATAATGAGTATACTATTAGCTATTAGTACACACCTATTTTTCAGGAATGCTATGCAAAATACCTTCACAGAAAGATAAATAGAATATAATGCTAAACTTGCTTTGTGCACAAGTCAACCATAAAAGCATGTCCAACATATTTGTCTACAATGTCAAGATGATACTAGCAATGCTAGCCATAGGAAGTCAATAGTTGATTTCAAAACACACCTTCAGGTTCAGACATCTGTCTCAGATCATAGTATTGGGTTTCATGGCCTCTGATGGTAAAAAGATATCTCCATTCTTTTACAAACTTTAAAATAAAGTGGATGCTGATGTCTACTACTAGGTCATGAGGTGCTATGTTTAGACATAGCTATGGCTAACTAACAAGAAGGCAACAGTATGAAACTAACACAGTGCTCCTGGTCAATGAAAATGCAAAAGTTCTGCAAAATTACTGTTGCACCGGCCTCTAACACAAGGGAATTACACCGGTTCTCACTATATATAGTGCCAGTAATACCTACCCGGTGTAAGCAGCGACAGTACTACAACTGCCTAGCTGAGTAGTACCCGTTTCCTACCTTTGTATCTGTGATGTTAAATACACTTGTTCCTTAAACCAACTTCGACTTGATTTTCTTATTTTTACTATTGTGCCACGACACAATTACCATTGTTGATTTTTGGCCTTTAGCTCTCTTCTGTACTGGACCTGAATCTACTAGACTATGTTGGGTGTTTTGGAGCAGGCCACCAACATGACCTCCCAACCCAACATAAATACACTTAAAACCACTATCAAATAGAAGTGCAGTAAGATGTTTAATGACTTTTCTCTTAAGACTTGTATACATTGAATAAAATATTTGTTTTGATATTATCTATTTACACTATTTACATGCAGACTATTGTCCTCATCTTTGATGTAGTTATGAAGTTTCAGCCATTGTGTCTTAAGATCTTCATCATATGTATATCAAGCTTGGTAACCTACAGGGAATTCCAAAATGAACCATTTATTTAATCTCTTGGTGTAGACTGTTCTTGTTCCACTTCCCATGTCTAAGGATATCTTGTCTAATTCTTATTCTTAGTACTGCTCAGTTATTGCTCACTCTGTTTCTGAGACAGTGGAATGAGAACAGCAGTCCTCCCCCCATAGATTAAATAAAGGTTCAGTTTGGAATTCCCTGTAGGTTACTTGGATTGACATACACCTGATGAAGGCTGGAGGGTGCAATGGTCAAAATTTTTACTTGAAAAACAAGGTGGATAAAATAAGTAAGGGTTTATTGTAAAAACCAGTACAATAAGAATAAAGGTAACAGTTATGCATATGGTCATTGCAAGTCAATCCAGTAGTGAGTGCTGCTATTGGAAGGTTGGTAGTTCTTGCATAAGTCTGAGTTGTACTCAATAGATCCCAGCTAGTCTGCTGACTTACAGATACTTATAGGTAGTTACTACCTATAGTATAGTCACTCATGGGGGTGACAGGTTATTCCATTACATCATAACAAAAATGAGAGCAATAGTCCACATGTAAATAGTGAAAACACTGATAACTCCTCATCCCAGAAATTCAAACAGAAATTGATATTATCTAGTTTTATTAATATCCTTTTGTATAAATAGGCCTATTTATGTATGATAAGCAGTTTTGAAGCTGTCATTAATTTTGCATGTTTTGCTTTCACTTTCTGTAGTGTATAAATATTTACTTATAGGTTTACTTTGGCTGCAGAAATTTTATTCATGAATTATTCATGTTTATACAAACTGAAAATACAACTCTGTAAAATATTGTAAATAAGAAGCAGTTCAATACTTAATGCTTAATTGGCAAGACAAGTATTCATAAGTCACGTCCTTAATTTATTTATAAATCTCTTGTTTGTTACAATTAATCTGTGCTTTTGATTTGGCTCTTCAGCCAAAAGAGAAAAATAAGCTTAAAACAAAGAACTACATGAAAAAAGATTATGTTTTAGCAAGTAATTTTCTCTTCTTTTTCTACCAAACAAGTTATGTGCATAGTGTGGTGGTTATATGCTGAATTCAAATTCTGGCCAAGGATGTTGCATTCACTTTCTCATAAATACTCTTGGGAATAATACATATCCATTTTTCTTCTCCCAGCTATGGGTTAAATAGTAAGGCAAACTGGGCTCTCAAGCTTTAGTTGACAACCAGTCTAGAAGAAGGATTACTGAATTCAAAACTGGTTGTGAATGGGTCTGGCAACACCACCTTGTAAAAAGCCTACTTGCTATGGGGTCAAAGCATCAACATTAGCATAGTAAGGCTGTGACCCTAGCATAGTGAGGCTGTGGCCATATACTCCACATGGAGTGAGAAAAACTCATCTCTTATCTCACTCTCTCTCTTCTAACAAGCAGTGACAATTGTAAAGTAAAGGCCTAAATGATAAAAGAAACATGAAAGAGGTAATGTGATGATAACATTGCACTCAAAGAGGAGAATTCCTTTACAGTGAGGCTGTGACAAAAATAACCAATTTTGAGATTAGTGTAAAAGTTCAGAGTTGCTGTAGGTTAAGTCTCGATGTTTTTACCAATTACACATTTTATAATGTGGAGTCTTTTGGTGAATGAAAATGAAATTTCCTCAGCTAATGATAAACATGGAAGCAAGAGTATCTGTTATTTCTTTAATAATTATCACACTAATTTATAATCAGCTTTTTTGCTTCACGGGGAATTGTGTACATGTGCCTGTAAGATCTTGAGTAAAACTAAGCCAGCATTTTGAGAAATCTTCCAATCTTGAGAAAGATTTTTCTTGAATTCCATGGTAAAAGTAATGTTATTTATAATTGGTTTTACACAATTTGTTGGATGGAAATGATAAAATAATTAAATATTAATGATATAAATTAAATATTAAATGATAAAAGAATGAAATAAAATGAATTGGAGAAATAATAATTAATAGTGTGAGATTAAGTGACAGCTATTGGGATAAAGTGCAAGGAAGATTAGATTCTTGTCTTTCCTTTCTGAAGTAATACCATTAGGAACCTTATTCAGAATTTTAACATTGGCAATAACATGGTCTTCGTTGTAATTAATGAAATCATTTTAGCAAACCAACTGCCTCAAAATTAGTAAGGATTTAAATGATGATATTAGTGATAAACCTTTGACAATACAGTTATCAGTAACAATAATTATCTTCATGAAATTTTGAACTGAACCCATTATTCAATCTATCAAAATAGATCCTTCTCATTCTGCTATTCATGTCTAGGGATATCATATCTTGGTTAATTGAACAATTAGAATGAATAAAAGGTTTATTTTAAAATTATCTGAAGATTATCCATCTTGACAGACACCTGAAGAAGGCCAGAGGACACAGTCATTGAAATGCTGTGATCATAACAACAAAGCTGAGAACATTGACTGTACATGATGTAAATAAAGATGACTTTTCATCCTAAAAATTCAAACAAAAATCTATGAGAATTAGATAAGGGTGTAATATGCCATCAATTTAATGCTAGATTGCAGTTTTCTTTGGAAACTAGGCAAAATATTTTTACAGCTTGACTGTGGAGTTTTCACTCACACACAATATTTACCAAATACTGCACCATTAGATGAGCATTTGTTCTGGTCTTTACAAAATTATCTAAATGAAAAAAACTAATTATTTTCTAGAAGGCAAGAGATATGTAGAGCAGTTCATTGCCAAAAAAGATTTAGGAGGGTGGAATTATAAAGTTGTCTGAAAAATAGAAAAATGGTACAAAATAGTAAATAGTGAATGTCAAGAATAAAAATAAACTGTTTATTATTTGTACTTAATAAAATGAATGTGAGGGTAGAAAAATGATTATCAGCACAGAAAGTGGATTTGTAGTGCATAGTTCAAGTTCCACCTTGCTTCCCACATTCACTAATGCACTTCAGAAAGACATGGATCCATTTCTTCTTCCCTCAACTATGGGTTAAATAGTAGAGTAGATGGGACTTTCTAACTTTGTTGGCAACCAGTCTAAGAGAAGGAATTCAGAACTGTGGATAATAAAGGCAATGAAAAACCACTTCCCTATCTTTCCCAAGAAGTCATAACAATTCACAGATAATAAAGAAATAGAATCTGTGGAGAGTCATGATTGTCTAAGTCTTGTAGGGGCCTGGCATTAAGAAAATAAACTGAATAAACTTTTTAGTTTACCCAAAACATGCACAGGTAGTCAAGTAAAGAAGTAGAAAAAAGGAGTGAATAAGTAATGAAATGAGAGAGAGAAAGAGAGAGAGAGAGAGAGAGAGAGAGAGAGAGAAAGAGCATGAAGAACCAAAAGTTAGAGAATGAGAGTGAGAGAATGAGAGAGAGTGCAAGAGAAGGTAGAGAGAGAAAACAACAGTCAAACATGTATACACACATGAATGAGTGAGCAAGAGAGAGGCAATAAAAGAGAAGAAAAAAGAAATGAGTTAGAGAATGGAACTGTCAGATTAAAAGTCGTAAAAAAAAGAAGAGCACAGAGAAAGAGACTGAAAGAAGAAAATTTTAAATAGAGACTGACAGAAAGAGAGGCAGGGAAATAAACAGTTACTTGAGAAAATAGAAATAAAATGCTACAAGAAAGTGATAGAAAGAGATAAAGAGACCAGAAAGACAGGTAAATAGAGAGAGAGAGAGAGAGAGAGAAAGAGAGATGAAAAAAGTGAAACAGACAGGTAAATAGAGAGAGAAGCAAAAAGAATGAAATAAACAGGTAAATAGAGGAGAAAAAATATATATATATATATATATATATATATATATAGAGAGAGAGAGAGAGAGAAGTAAAAAGAGGGAAAAATACAGGTAAATAGAGAGAGAAGCAAAATGAGTGAAAAAGACACGTAAATGGAGAGAAAATAAAAATGTGTGAAAGAGATTGGTAAATAGTAAAAATGAGTTAAAGAGATTGGTAAATAGAGAGTAAAAAGGAGTGAAAGAGATAGATAAATATTTAGAGAAGTAAAAAGATGCAAAGGCATCAAAAGCAAACTCCTTGAATAAGATAAACTGAAAAACAAATATACACCCAGGGGCATCCCAGTTGCTCACGTCATCAACATTTTGTGAGGTAATCAGCGACACCCATGATATTTTATCTCCATTGCTGTCATCAGCCAGTAACCATGGACTTCTACAGAAACCTAGCAATGACATCCACAGTAGTAGATTCCACTGTATAGTATGTATGTACTGATGTGATTTAATGTGGACATAAGTGGAACTAAGATGGAAGAGACAGCAGACAAAGAATGGCATGAATAAAATACTTAACTAAAATGGTAAAATTTTTCTGTATTCATGGGAAAAAGTCAAAATAAATTTTATCCAAACATTATTTTTCTCTCTTTTAAATTAAAAACTATCAAGTGGAATAATAATAATAATTGCAATAACCTAGCATATTTATTTAATAAAACAATGATCAACTGTAAACATTTAAAACATATTAAGTAAATTTTTTTCTTACTTGAAAAAGTTCCTGAATTTCACATATTATAACTTCAAAATATTCTTAGTTACATTAGAAAGATTGATTGATTGATTTGTCAATTTAATGGCATATCAACCCCTTATGGGTTATTCAATGCTGAAATTTAATTTTCTTGGAAGCTTGGAATTAAGTAATAAAATATGTTATTCTGTTTTCACAATTGAATACATGGTAGATATTCAGCTTTTGAACATATGTATGTTTGTGTGGACATTATTACTAGAAGTAGTGATATGTGTGTTTTATGTTGTGTTTTTGTTGAAGTTATATTTTGGAATACAGTTTGATTTAAGAAATTGTAGGATATTATATGGCTTCATACCATGAAAGTTCTTTTATGTTGGCTGTTTGTTAATGATTTAAATGGATTTGAGTGAAGTCACTACAATTTGTTAGTATGTGCTTATTAGTAATTTTACTATAAATATATATTGTTGGTAATGTTTTTATATAAAAATGTATTGCTGGTATTTTTACTATAAAAATGTATTTTTATGCTTTCATAGAATTTTATTTTTATTTTGGGAGTTTCACTATTTACCCATAGCTGGGACCCTAACAGGTGCTACCACCCCAGGTTAGGGTGAACTTGGGAACAACAGCAATTAAGAGGTGGTTCCATGCTCCTCAAAATCTCCAATCTCCTAATCAGAGGCATTGCTGTCAGATGTAGTTTATCATCATACCCAGGACTACATTAGAAAGAATGTAGAAATAATAAAATCTTTGGTTAAAAAAAGAAAAATGAAGCATGAATATTAAGCAATCAATAACAACACAGAAAAATAATTGTTTCTTCCCTTGATAACCTACAGGTACAATTTTCCACTAAATTACTCATCTAGGCCACTAGGCTTTGAAATGGTCTGTATAGAATTTCAGGAACAATGTATTTGGGCAAGGAGTCAATAAATATTTATAAGGATAGAAGAGGGTCAGTAACATTAAATTAAAGATGTGTATCCTTAAGAGTTTAACATTTTATATTGACTATAGATAAAAAAAAATGCAATCTGTAATAGTAGCAAAATAATCTTGCTTATATAACAAAGAGTGTGTTTTTGATTAAATTGTAATCCTAGGAACATGGTATGTTCATTCCACTTTGAAACAAGAAAACTGTCTAAAAGTGACAAGAAAAGTGAATTAATTAATTTGTATTCATCAAACTTTTATTCTTATTTTTTTAGGTTTAGATGAAAAGAAAAGGAAAATGTAAACTTATCACTTCTTGTTGATTATTACTTGATAACTAATTTGCCTTCAGACCAAGACAAACAAATTCATTAGATTTAACATATGAAGGAGTGTTGAAAGTTCTCAGCTCAACCAAAATGGAATTCTAAAAAACATTCTCATTTTTGATTATTGGATGAGATTTTGGGAAGTGCATTGAGCTGAGAACTTTTCAACAGACTTTTGTACAATAGGTCCATAGACTGACACTGTTGTAAGCTGAATTTTGATCTAAAACTTTCACTGTATAGTGTTCGATCTATGTAACTACTGGAGATGTACTGGATAAAGTGAATCTATGAGAAGAAAATTATGTTGAAAAAGAAATATTTGTTTTGTCAAATAAATGCTTTTTGTCATAACATTGTGAACTTATTGTATGTATATAAGTATGTATATGTGCATATATGTAAGCCCTGTAGATTCCCTTGTAGTGTATAGGAACATAGCCTCATCACATTAGATGTGGGTGATGTAGTTTCTGTTTTTTACAGGAGGAAGTTGCTATCCCCAGAAATAACTAGTTTTGAATTCAGAGTTATCTTTCTCCTAGACTGGTTGCCACACAAGGATGAAAAGTTCAGTCTAGCTTGCTACTACCACTTAATGGGGAAGAACGATAGATTAATACCTTTCCAAGTGCATTTGTGCAAAAGTGGATGCAATGATCTCTGCTGGAGTTTGAACACAGCATGCTAATCCCAATTTCCACACTGATAACCACTACACTACATGCACATCCATGAATTTATTGACTTACATAATTTTAAGAATGAAAGTAGTTTATACAAAATGTGCATGGAGGCAATCAATATTTGATTAATATGGGTAATTTTGTTAATATTGTGACATTTAGCAATATGACTTCTCAAACTGTTATGTCTGGAAGAGATCTGAAGTTATAATGTTTTCATGATGGAGATATGGGAGAAAATGATATATAAATTTTCATATACCAGAAGAAATGCTAGGAAAATTTTTTATCATGTACTGTGTTTTGACTTTTAGGACTTCATTGAACTAAAGTGATGTTTATGTTAATGTAAATACACATGTGCACAAAGGAGAGGGGGATACTAAAATTTTAAATTAAATTTTTTTTAGAATATATATTTGGTTATGTAGTCTAACCAATTTAATTTTGTTTTTTTCCTTTTGTTTATATTTTTTATTGCTTTTATTGTTAAATATTCCACATTGCAATAATAGAAGATCTGCCAAGAAAGGTGAAATGTTGTAAGAACCTGTGTGGAAATTTACTGAGGATGATTTTTTTTTTACCATTTCACCCCAAGCAAAGCAATAAAGCCACTAAGACACAAGGGATTACTGAGTGTGAAAGGATATGAGAAAAAGAAAACAATATAAATGAGAAAGAACAATAAAAGAACAGGAATTAAGATGATAGAAGATAATGGTTGATATTGCATTTAAATTTTTGAAGATCAAATTTGACTGGAAAACAAGAAGCTGGAAGAGAGTTCCACAAGTGAGAAATGCAAGAGAAAAAACTGTTAACATAGAACTTACAGTTACATCTAGCAATTTCAACTCTAAAATGATGAGACCTTGCTACCAATCTAGTACTGCACTTAAATTAATAAAATCTAGGTAGCAAAGAGAACATTTACTATGAAAATGTTTATAGAAAAGACACAAGGAAGTTACAATACAGTGGGATTAATCTAGACAGTGGTGGGATTAATCTAGACATTAAAAGACTTTCTATACATTTTTGTCTTAGTAAATTGCTTTCTCTTTTAATTCAGGATGATATGAAGAAACTTTGAAATATTTATAAAATCAATCAGATTTTCTTTGTACTGACTCCTTTCTATTCATTGAACATGGATTGACAATCTCTACCAACTTCAATGGCTTTGTACCAGAGAGAAAAAAAAACTATTGTTTTCTTAAAAAAGTTGAATTTTACTCTCACAGCCATTTTTCATTTCTTTAATAATCATTCTATCTGTTGGAAACCTTTTCCAGTAGGCCAAATATATTTTATCAACAATGGTATACACATTTTTAACCTCCTGGGAATTTTAGTTTCTGATTTCTTTTCGGTTACAGGAAATTCAATATTATTTCATTGTTTAAAATGCACGTCACTGCACTATACTGCTTTAACACTCTGTTCAAGTTTAAGATAAATGTATTGTCTTTAACAATTGTTTGCAAACATCATATTCATAAATAGAGAATAAAATCAAAACATCTTACTATTGTTTTGAGTGAAATATAGAAAGTATTACAAAATTGTTTTTAGCAGTTTTCATATTTATTATTCATGACATCACTATTAATATTCCAATTTAAATTGATTTAAAAAATAACATTAATTAATTACTGTGATAATAATGAACCTTTCCCATCCTATCCATTTTAATACTAACTGCTCTGTATAAAAGGCCGTTTAATTACTAATGATTCAGTTTTACTGAATACAGCTTCTTAAGTTCATATTCAGTGTGGTTTATTCATTACTATTACACAGTGACCAGATATTTTTAGCTTGCACAGTTGAGAGATATAAAAGCTACATTTTTCCTGAAATATAATTTTATAAATTTTAAAAAATCTATAAAAAGAAATTTGTTTTGAAATGAGCCAAATAGGGAATGTGGTGTTCCAGTAACACAATGTTTCCTATTTGATGTACCATTGAACAATTTCTTAAATAAATATTCTCTACTAAAATGAAGGTGTTATTATATGCTATCAAATATGATAGTAACCAATTTACAGAGCATAAAGTTTTGAATATAGGGGCTGAGGCAACAGAATACAAATGTTCATTGATATTAATGATGACAACAATAAAATTAATGTTGCTGTTAATAATGACATGAAGTTTTGAAATTTCAATGTAAATAAATGATTGTAACTCAAAGTTTTCTAAAATAAAATTTAAAATAGAGAAATGTCAATAATCTTCCACTGAACTCTAAATATTGTTAATTTAAAATAAATATACATTAGACTTAATACAGATGTCATTTCTATAATGAAATTTATTACATGTGTTGTGTTTAAAGCCATCCTGCAATACAAAGTTTTATTAAATATATATGTAAAAATATCCTTACAAAGTCTAATAAAATATAAGTATATAAATAAATGTTAAATGGAACTGGAATTTAACATCTGCAAACATAATTATACAACTCTAGCAAAATATGCATCGAGAATTATAAAAAACTGAAAAGTTTGTCTATAGAAAGATGCAGTCTCAGAGGAATATTTTAGAACTATTGCTATGAAATTGCAAATATATTTGAGTATTTGTTGCCTCACTAGAAAAAAAAAACAAAAACCACAAGTGTAAATAAAGTAACTACCAAATTTAAAACCCAAAATAGAACAGCAAAAGAAGATATAAAAGAAATATTTATATTAGGAAAAATTAATAATTAAAATTAAT